GAAATGATTGCAGGCAGATTTTATCCATAATGCCACTGCCAGACAGTGGGAGTTAGGCCAAGGGCAAATTTTCATCCAAATCAACGATTCCACATACTATTAATAACCTTTTACACATGAGAACCTCCTATCGATCAGAATGAATTGTGCATATGTTTAGGATCAACAAACATTTTCAGGCGCAAAGGAGCAACAAGATCGAGCTGATAACGTTTCTTAATTCCAAATACTGAAGACTGCTTTGAATAATATGTTTAGGTAATGGGTAGCAACAACGGACAGATAAACTAGTTACAGCTTCTATTTATTAAATGCTTGATATAACGATTGCCAGCAACGCCGGCTGGGCGTATCCTATGGCTTACCCTCCCTACTAACAAAAATCCACCCTTCCCGTGACACTTATGAGGGGTCGTAGAGTTCTCTGCATCTCTCTTAAGTAAGTGTCGGAATAACATTCCTCCCCTTTCCCCACCAGATGCAAGGACGTGGCCAGGACAGCTCTGGTCTGTTGGAGGGTGACACATCCTTTATCTAAGAGGTAGTAAGTAATCACAAATTACTATCTAACAGCAACGGATGAAGGTGCGTCTCCTTCTTAACAACAGTTTGGAGCTCGTACCACCTACGACATTGTGCAACCTGGTTTATGCAATGCTATGCTATGTGTAAAGAACAGTTATTCTTCACAATGTTGAAGAACAGAACCATAAACCCTCAAATTTATTACGTAAAGTGGTTTACATTTATGTCATGTGTAGTCTGCAAAGCTGTCAAGTGTTTGAAGCTGTTTTCGTGAACAATGTAGCAACATTGTTCTTGTTCTTGTAAACAGTTTTGAACACGCTGCAACTCCCTAGTTTGAACACGGAGTTGAAATCATCGGAAACTAATCTTAATTTCGATTTTTCAATTTTCACTATATGTTTAAACGCATTGCAAAAGCAACACATAATTTAATATAGTTAAAAATTGGATGGTTCAGAAATCATAATTAATTTTTAAGATTAATTTTAATGAACTTTAGTTTGTGGAGAAAAAAACGTAAGTAATTGTAATAATCATGCACATCCGTAAAAAACTACAACTTATACTTAAAGTGACCCTAAGTCAGGTTTATTGAGTGTTACTGGTTCTTCCATCGAATTCCTGGATATTTCTTGGCTTCCCAGTTTTTCAGAAATTTCAGAATCGCTGGCCACCCTGTTAAGGACAATACCAAGAAACAAAGGTGGGAAACGGAAAAGTGAGTTTAGTGTCCATTTTAATGGTTTGATAAAAGTGACCAATTTACTCAAAAGTGGCCTGCTGACAGCCCTGCCACTTCTTTTAATGACCTTTACTGCCCATAACTGCAAATCAGTCCCATCTGAAATAAGCTGGAAATGAGAAACCGGCGTTAACAGATTTTACAAGTTTTCTCATTTTACACTTATTTTAGAGGAATAATTTTGAAAACAAACTTGCAATGTGATGGAATGTATCTATGTTTAGCAAAAAAAAAATTGGATAAAATATCGTGAAATTTTTATTTTATGACCAAATCTGAGTGGGATTGACTTGCGATTGCATTTAACGTCACTAAGAAAAATAACCGCAAGTCGAGTTACGCGCTGCAAGGTGCGTGAAAGAGCTCGGTAAATACAATCGGTGTTGATGTTGGCTCGCTTGCAACTTTTATTGTGTTTTCCAAAGAAATTGATCGAAAGTGTACCAAAAGTGCTTCTGAACGTGTTTCGCAGTTGGGAGTGGTGAAGTTCGTAAATTCGCGGTTTATGTTCAGTGAAAATTCCGTATCACAAAATTGCTCAACGAGTTCCCTTTTTTGCCGTTTGACGACGACGGGCATGCGAGAGAAAAATAAGCATCGGGAATGTGCTCCCGGATGTATTGATTTGGTGAGTTCGTTCCAGTTGAAGATTGTTCTTATACATATCTCGATTGCATTTTCGAGGGGACGTCCGGAGAGCCTTGAGATTTAGGCGTTGTTGCTTTTGCGGGCAGACGAGTTGGTCGCCGGTAAGGTCCAGTAAGTGCTGCCAGCAGATGAATCAAGAGGTATTCGAAACAAAATTGGTAAGAAATGTCCATTCAAATCGTTTTATTACAGTTAAACAAATTTCAAAACTATATACGTGCCAGATTTGGAAATAATATTTTTTGAATCTGGAAGTGTGTTTATGATACCATTATCCATTTAATAAAGGTAGAGTGAACATGCGGGGCTTATTGTAAGTAAAAGTGACCTCGGAGTGGTCGTGAATTACCAGGCATTCTGAAATGGGTCACTGGAGCAGCAATAGAGCTAACACCTTCTAACTCCCGGACTAAACCTGCTTTAATTGAAGGGTAATAAAAAGCAGTTTTCTTCCATAATAACACTGCCGGACAGTGGGGGTTAGATTGTACACACACACACACACACACACTAAGAAAAATAACCGCAAGTCAGTCACAAACCTTTTTAAATCCAAATCGATCATGTGACACTTAAAATCACATGATAATTGAAAGTCAAAACCATTGGCGGTCATATTGAGAGTCGAAAGAACTACATTGGCCACATCTGGACAAGTTCCGAATACCCTAAGGGAAGTGGACAGAATCTACCTTGACTAAAATCCCATGATTCGATATGTTGTCTAACATTGTTAATTCTATAGAAGCAAGCCTAAAAACATAGCTGTGACGTTGTTCTATTATTTATTTTAATGAAACCATAATAGGACTGACTTGTTATTACTTTTAACTGTGGTACAATTTGACTTGGTATTGTTTTTAATTTTTATTCAGCAATCCACCTTTTTCAATAGCACAGCTTAAAAAACAAAGATAGATAAACTGAATAATGATGCTAACTCAAAATTGATAAAAATACAGATGGGACTGACTTGCGGTTACCGGCAGTTAAGGGATATGGAAAATGGTTAGTAATTTGGCCTATAGATCCTAAGATAAAACTAATGATGGGATTGTTACCATTTCAACGATTGAAAACTATCTTGGTCACGTTCCTGCAACTGCATGCGATTTGATGGATATCAAATCTGTCACTGGTGTGCATTTTTTGAGTATCAAAAATTCCTACAGAAATCTTACGAAAACGCTCTAGTGTCCAAAACTTCCATGAAAAAAGAAATATTTTTTTTTCTTATGGTCAATAATAAATTTATGGGAAATTCAATCTTAAAAAAATAAAATTTCAAAGGTCCAGAATCAAACTTTGGAAAATTCCAGCAATTATTGAAAAATTCAAACACTTTTTTATACCACATCTTTAATAACAAAATACTATCATGTGATTCTAGATAAATTTGATTGTTGTTGGAATGAAACTGGATAAATCCTAAGAACTCTCAAAACACTGAAAGGAGTCACTATATATCTATTATTATTGCTTTAATTCCCTAAGAAGCTCTTTTTAGAAAATCAATTTGATAAATGTAACGCGTCTACACTAACACTGGCAACTTCCAAATATTTTCTATCTACTGAATACGTCCAGTTTATATTTAAGATCGACGTGCCAATTACTGTCGAAAAACTCTCCCACTAATAGGAGGAAAAAATCCCATTTAACCGAGAAAAGCTTCTGATCGTAAAACACCGCAAAAAGTTACTTTCACCTAAGAGTGGCTGCTGTCAGAGAGTCTGATATTGCCAGCACCGGTCACCTTCCCGGAATCACTTTCAACTGTTATGTTATTTCAGGAAAGACAACTAACCGATGATCCCGTGTGGGATTGGAGCAAAATTTCCCCATGCAAGATGAATTAGAGTACCCTCTTCCGTCCAACCACTGTCATTTACTGTTGTTACCGCATTAGGTTAATGATTTCCGGTTAGGATGAAACTCATGATAACGAGTTTTATAAACTAATCCACAAATCTGCTCGTGTTCTCCGTTTCCATAATTACTTCTGTCACTGCAGCACTCTTCCGCACGATTGCCATTGAATCGAGCAACTATCCACAACGAACGGAAACAGTTGCACTTTCCGTTACGTCAGTTACTCTGGCATACTTCACTCTCCCACAACTGACATTCGCATGCGGCACAAGTTGCTCCTTAATTAACTTCCCGAAATTATAAAAACAAACTTTCATCCATTCGCCGTCAACCGACTCACTTTTTTGCCATTCTATCCCAAAACACAGCACTGGGAGCAAAGTGCAACAGATACTCAAAATTCCACTGCAGCTGATATCCACATCCACAGCGTGCAGCAATCCCTTTGATGTGTCCTGGACCGCCTCGGGACAGCTAGCAGAATTTCTCAAAAAAAAAAAAAAAAACACAAGAGAACATCCCACCAACTGCTCATCCTAATGCAGTGCTCATCGCGTTCCATTGCGATGAAGTTGCACTGTTTCTATCTCACATGTGCCTGCACTTCAGCACGCCTCCAGCCAGAATAATCCAGTAAAACGAAACATTTCCCTATCGACATTTTGGTCTGTGCCGTTTCTTGTGTTAAGGCAGACACTGGCACTGAGGCACACAGAAAACATATTCTGCAGTGTAGATCCGCAGCTTTTTCACTTTTCTTCCGCTTTTTATCCAGACTTCATCCAGCAAGAAAAACAACACATACAATCCTCCCCGCCTCCACCCAATGCTCGGAGAAAATAGGCACCACGCTAATGTACACCATGGTCTTCTGCGCTACACCACACCATCGAAGTATCGTTGGTCAGTACGAACTCTACTTCCACAAAGCACCGAGAACGAAGGCGGAGGAGACGCCGCAAGTCGAAAGCCAGCGAGTTTCCTTCACAGAACGTTCAAGTCACGCGCTTGCATAACTTCCACTGGCCACCAGGACTACTGGCCGGACTTCTTTTCCCATGCTGTACACACTACCACATATTCTGCTGCCAAGTTATCCCAAGTTGCAGCAGTTGCAATGGCAGTGCAGGACGAAAAACAGCTGCTCAATGCAACGATCACTCTCCTCGTAACAAAGGTTTATCCCCTTCCCACTCCCAAGTTTCATTACCGATGACGAATCATACACATTCACACGCACACGAGACACACGCCGCCCCGGGAGTCAAATACGACGACGGAGCAGCACTATCCATTCCCCCAAACGCAGGCAACGGTGGGGTCTATGGGGGATGGGAGATGGCTACCGGGTCACACAATCGAGATATCCAGTTCAGGAACGCACGGAATCGTAAATACGCGGATTCGAATGCCGTTTTGTTGTTGCTTGCAGGACGAACACGAGCGCACTGAGAGAGAGAATCCACGGCGGAAGCTACGACCGGCCGCCTGCCTGGCAGCAGAGATGCGAGGGATTCATCTGGGTCGCCCGCACGAAGCACCATCGTCCTCGGCGGAATCGTCGTCGTTTTCGTGCTCTCGTGCTCTGGTGCAGTTGGGGTGAGCTCCATCCGAGCTAACTCGAGCAGCGCTGCTATCCTTGGTGGGTGGTGGGTGGTTCGAATTTCCCGGTTGCTGCTAGAGTTGGGTGAGTGCTACTCGAGTACCTACTCCGGTGGAGGAAGTGTTCGAAAAGGGACGATTCGAGCGTACTCGAATCTCACCAGTAGAAAATTGAAAGAGATTCCATTCTTTTGCTGCGGTGTCATACCGTTTGATTGGTTAACATTGATGAGATTACAAACCGCACCAACGACTGAACGTTCGTTCAGATTAGGTGTAATAATTCAAATTACAAAAAAAATCCAGGCATTGAAAAATAAACTGGAAAATCTCCCAAATAACCACGGGAAACTGTTAAAGCACGTTTTTTGGAGATGTTTGAAGACATGCATAAAAGGAACAAGACCTCCAAAGGATGTTGAAATGTTATGTAGACATGAAATAGTTTTGCTATAACAATGAAGATTTTTCTTCTTCTCTTCCTTTTCTTCTTCTTCTTCGTCGCATTTCAAGCTAATAGCTTACCGCATATAAGCTTATTGGTTGAAGGTCTACGGAATTTCTTGAAGTTTAAGGAATTTATCGATTTTCTACTAAGCTCCCGAAAGTTCCCTTGAATAGTCCCTTTCTCCGCAATTCCCTTAAATAGTCCAAGACTATGAAACGTCAACAAAGTGCTCTGACGTTAAAAGAAAGTCCAAACATTTTAATGATGTTTGCTCATATTAAACAAAATGCCCTTAATTTCAACGGAGTTTTACAAACTTGAACACAGCTCCCGTTTCGAAATTTGCCCATTTTTTTTGCAAAGCTAAGGCTCCACGAAGTTCCACAAATATATTCAAAGTTTCCTGAATGCTTACGTTGTTTTTTGAACATCTATGAAGTCCGTACAATTTTACTTATTTCCATGAACTCAAAGAAATTCCAGAACTTCCTGAATTTCCACAAAATTTGCTGAAATTATTTAAAGTGTATGATTGTGCGTTTGACTAGTACTGTCGCATCAATTTAAACTTTTATTAAATGTTAACACTGCCGTACTCTAGCAGAAGGATCAACCTACCCTCTTCAGAACTTTTTCTAGCTAATAAATTATCGCACTAAAGCTTCATGTTGATTTTAGTGTAGCATTTCCAACCAACTCTGAAAATTGTTCAAACTTCACGTATGTAGTACCAAATAAAGAACACTTTGAATGAAGTTGAGTTATTTTTCACAAAGTTCAATGAAATTCTACAAAGTTCTCTAAACTTCTACAAACCTTGCTGAACTTTTACAAAAATATCTTAAGCTTAACGAAGTTTAATGAACTTCTACAAAGTTGACTGGACTTTTAGAAAGTCTGCTGATTATCTTCAAAGCTTCTTGAAGTTCTACAATGTAATGTTTCTTGAACTGCTTTGTTTAACGGCTTTCTCACCCTTAAACACTCTAACGACTACGATGTAATCTGCCCGACGTTTCGGTCATGGGCTGTGGCCTTTTTCAATGGAAACAACGCATGGCCAAAACGACGGGCAGATTACATCGTAGTGGTTAGAAAGCTTAAGTTCCTGGTTTTTTCCTGGTTTTCCTGGTCAATAATTAAAAAAAATCCTGGTTTTAAAAATCATGTATTTAAAAACCATTTATAAAAAATAGAGTGAATCCTTGTACCATCATTCTTCGCGCAATGCGGAATTTCACAAACCAAAATAGGTATTAAGGTTCCTGTGAATGCCCGTGAAATCTTTATATGATTGTTTGCTGTAAAGAAGCTAGTAGGGAGCCGCGCTACTTCGTCGTATCATGGCGCCTATTTCCGTTCTATGTGCTAAAACCTATAATAGCAACGCGTTTTCACTCATGTTTTTGCAAAAACATCTTTGCTTACAAGATTAATTACGATTGACACTGAAACATTTGCGATAACCTGTAAAATGAGCGATTTAGGGGTGTATGACAAAGAAAAGCTGAGATACTAAATCTTTAGATTTCTGTTTTTGAAACTGCGATTTTTTTTAACTTTATTATTGAGATTTTTAGCCAACGGGATAGTTTATCTCAAGGTGAAATTGCGAAGTGTGATATGAACGAGGACTCTTTAAACAAACCTTTGCTTCTAACAATTTTACGGATTTCCAGTTTGTTTAAATTTTCCGTAAATTGTCAACGATTAAGGATCTTATTTAGCGGAATGTTTTTTTTTTTTCCTTTGATTTGTTTTGTCCGTGGATCTTGTTTTCCGTGCTGAGCACCAATGCTACCGACGTGCCAGGAAGGCAGCTCCCACACCTGGACCCTACCTATCGACCCATCAACTCATGAACCGGGGACCAACGGCTTTACTTCCCATCCGAAGGAAGGCGTGATCAGAGATGTTATGCCTCAGAACATCCCGGCGGCGCCGACTGGGATTGAACCCAGGCCTGCTGGGGTGAGAGGTAATCACGCTTACCACTACACCACCGGCACCTTAGCGGAATGTTGATTACAACATGATTTCAAAATCATATGCTTAAAAGAGTTCATAAACAACGCTGGTTTAATAACTCTTATTATTAAAAAGACTGACTGCTGAAGTTAATAGAAACTCCCTAAAGTTCGTAGAATTTCCCTGAAGCGTTAAGCTCTTTCCTGAAGGATTCATTGAAGTTTGTATTGTCTGAATTTCATGGGACTTCCCCGAAGTTCGAAGGACTTTTTTTAAGATCTTAGGACTTCCCTGAAGTTCAGAGATTTTTAAAATTCATAGGAATTTCTTAAATATTGTAGAAGTACCACGAAGTTCGTAGAAATTCTCAGAAGTTCGTAAGACTTCCTTCGAGTTCGAAGAACTTTCTCGAAGATCTGAGGCTTCCCTGAAGTTTGAAGGACTTAACTGAATATATGAGGACGCTAAATTTAGGAGAGCTTCCCTGAAGCTCATAAGGCTTTAAATATCGAAGGGTTTTCCAAAAGTTTGTGGGTGTTTCATTAATTTCTTGGAAATCCCCTGAAGTTTAGGGAGCTCCCATGAATTTTGTAGGACTATCTGTAGTTCAATCGACTTCTCGGAAGTTCTACTAACTTTTTTTTTTTATCTTGGAGAACTACGTTAAGTTCAGAGGACTTCCCAAGAATATTGAAAACTTCTCTGAAGCTCGAAAAAAAAAAATCCATAAGTGTCATAGGATTATCCTTAAGTTTAAGCAATACCTAAGTGTCGTAGAAGTTATATTAAATCTGTAGAAAATTCTGTAAAATTCGTAGTTATTCCCCAAAGATTAAAGGACTTCCCTGAAGTTCGTAAGTCTTCTCTGAAATTTGTAGAACTTCTCTGAGAGCGATTTCCTGACCGTCGTAGGTCATCACAGTAGTTCACAGGATTTTCCTGAAACTTTTAAGACTTTCCCGAATTTTGTAGAACTTGCATGAAGTTCGAAGGCCTTATCTGAAGTTTTTAGAAACAGAACTTTTTTATTGAACATGTTGAACAGGTACTTCAAAGTAGTTACGCGTCGGCACTGCTTAAGTCTGCTATCAACTAAGCACAAATCATACATGCAATTGATTAAAAAAAAAAGTTAAATTAAAAATAAATACAAAATATATTTACTAAATTTTCAGGGTAAATTTTGTTCATCAATGTTTAGTTGTGTGAAAGATTTAGCTTGAACAAAATGGTTAGTTTAGACCTGATTATAAAAAGAAACTTTGACATAAAACCTATTAAATTATACAAACAAGCTTATTTTCCTGGTGGAAATATGAAATTCCTGGTTTTTCCCGGTTTTTCCTGGTGAACTTAAATTCCTGAATTTTTCCCGGTTTTCCTGGTTTATAAGCCACCCTGATATGTGAATAGTGAAGACATTTCGTTGATCTCGTTGAAGATTTTATCTAAATACACATGGAATATGGAAGCAGTAGCAGCACAGGTGGACCATGTATATTAGAGTGATGCAAAATTTGAAATTTTCGCTCCACAATACTTAAACGATTCCAAATCGGATCCTGACTAACCTCTCAAAATTTGAACCCATTTGGTGAGAAACTGAGATGGCACAAACCATTTGAAGTTTGTATGGGAATTACTATGGTAAAACCAAGATTTTTCTTCATGTCTATCTAATAATTCACCATATCGGTCTGCTTTAAAAGCTTTCAACTTTACTTGTAGGAAATATTCCCAGCTACAACTTTGCTGAAGACCACTTTTTGATTAAATGCAAGGATCGAAAGTTATTAATGGTTCAATGCGCTGATGCCTTATGATCATGCTCAATCAACTGCTCAGCAGGCAACATTGGTGTTTCTGGGGCGTTGAATAGGACACAAAAATTATGGCTACTATGTCACACTGCAAAATACAGTGTTGCCTACAGAGCAGCTGCTTGATCATGTCATAAGTTTACCAATCTCTTAAATAATTAATAACTATTTCCTATCTCGTTTTACATAGAAACGATCTTCAGCAAAGTTGTAGCTGAGAAAATTTTCTATAAGAATAGCTATCGAACTGTTTTGCAGCTCAATATGGAAAAAGACTAGAAGGCAATGAACAAAAAGTTGAGATTTCCCATAGTAATTTACATGTAAACTTCAAATGGCTTGTGCGAAGTCTGTTTCTAACCAAATGAGTTGTAACTTTGAGAGGCTAATCAGGACCCGATTTGAAACCATTTAAGCACTGTGGAGCGAAAAAGTCAAATTTTGCATCAGTCTAATGTATATGCGATTCTGAAAACAGCATTTGACGAGATCTGTCTGCCCTTTATACAGTTGTCCAGTGTGTTGGTAATCTTATTCATATCAAACAGTATGGATAGCGAGGTTTGAAACCGTTCAAAAGAAATTCGTTCGTCATGCACTCCCTGGAATGATCGTA